CGCAGCTCCTTTCCGTGTTACACGCGCTGGTGGGAATACCCCACCGGGCGTGCGGGGCTTTGGGCACAGGGAAGGTTCTTGCTGGGACAGAAGGTCCATGACTGAGATTCCTGAGCAGCGTGTGCTGGCCTCTGCTCAGCTGGGGGTCAGGCTTTGGGAGGAAAACCGTCCCTGCAAATCCGCCCGTGTGTGACCCGCTGTGAACGGCTGTGTTCTTCCCAGACACTGTGGAACCGAGAGGATATTCCCAAGGAATTTTTCCTTCTGCTGGGACCCCTAGCCCATAAAATTGTGTCTTGTGGGCAGCCGTCTGGGATCAGGAGCGTAAATGTTGTCATGAAAGCAAATAGTCCTCTGGTCGAGCTTATGAACTTGGTCTCAGAAAATGCAAGATTCAGTCCTGCCTCGTACACAAATCCTTGAGGGATACTGGATAAACCTCTTCACCATCTCGTGTTGTTTTTCCCCGCTGGAAAGTTTGGGAAATTAAGGTGCTTTCCTCTCTCTCTCACAGGACCGTAGGAGAACCAGTTATGTTATAGGTGGAGATCTGATACGATGGTGAGATGTACCATAGAAAATCCCTGTGACATGAGCATGTGAGTCCCGTCCTGGGGTGAGGTCATTGAAAAATTGAAAGAGAAATTAGAACTGAATGGGATAATTTTGAAGACTTCTGGGGTCAGAAGAAAGGGCAGATAGCTGAGCTCCTTGTCAGTTTTGTTCTTTGTCCTGACCTAGAAGGTACTCTTTTGTATTTAATTGATTTATTTTTATTGATTTTTATAACTCACTTTAATTGAACTTCTCTATGATTTGTCTGGCAAATTCAGTCTGCTGAGGCATAATAGGCAAATGTATTTTGTTCTTAAAATGACTTATCACCTTCAGGTGCAGTAAGATACCGTGAATTTTTTTCTTTTTCTCTGGATTGCTCTAGAATCCATAGCATCTATGACCATCAGATTTAGATGTCTTAGTATCAGGAGTACCAAAGGGTGAAATGGAAATATAATGTATAGATGTGCCAGTGTATGACTGCTGGCACCTCAGAGTGGGTGAGACGCACCGAGTTCACCTGAAATAGTCACAGAACGTAAGATCGCATGTTAGAGACTGATCCCAGGGACCGAGTAACGATGGTGATCACATTAAGTGGTTATGCGAGATGACGTGGAAGTGTTTGCTGAACGCAACAGTACCAGAAATCCTTACCACCTTCTGACAAAAGCTAGAGTGGTAATGGAATATTGCACCACAGTAGAAAGCTGATCTACATCTAGTGTGTTTTCTTCCATGTTTGCAGTTGGACATCTTCAAAAATACCTGCGGTAAGAGCCATGCCCTCAGTTTAACATCATCACTCCTGTATTGCTGTTTTTAGAACTGCATGATCTCTCTGCTATGGTCAATCAGTGAGGAGGGGATTCTTCTCGCCTCACATTAGCTAGCTAAAAATTCAGTGAGTAGGCTAAGGTAGCTGTCTGCACTCCCTTTATAGACAAAGGAACGAGGTGAGCTTCTCCAGAAGCCTGAAGGTACTATTTTGTGAGGGGATGTATCATGCTCTGGGCATGCTCCTACTTTCCATTAGCTTCAGCAGAGTAGCTATAATTGCCTTTCAGTAGGTGCCTGAGTTTGAGATCACTAAGGCTAAAGGGCACGTGCACCCAGCCCAAGTCAACAGAGAGGAGATGGGCCTCGCTAACGCTTTTTATTTCTAGTCAACGTTATTTTGTGATTCACTGCAAAAATTATACTTGTCCCTGGTGTTTGCAGAATGAGTCAAATATAAATACTTTTCTTATAAAGGGTATGCTAATCTCAAACTATATCACTAAACATAAAACTCTAACCCAGATATACCTGATATCTGCCTTGTCTCTCTCTTTCACCCCTCCGGTGAGAATCCAGGGTTTCTTCTGTTGTAATCTCCTTCAGGAGTAACAGCTGAGATTTCACCCAGAAACTAGTGACCCTTTGGAGAAAGGACTGCTGTGTTCCTGGGCAGCCAGTTCTGCATTTGAAGTGCTCAGGGAACTACTTTTTGTTTTGTGTATCTATCTGTGATATTTTATATTCCTCATTATCAAGACCTCCAAATGTCTCACAGTCTGCCCTGCATTTAAATTGTTGCAAGCCCTCTCACACATCACTCAGGATCTACAGGGAAAGTGGGGTAACATGACCATGCTGGATTAGAAAAAAGCACGTGTGAGGCACTGCAGACCCTGCTCAGAGCCAGGGGTCAGGACAACGGGGAGAAGAACCTGGCAGGTTGTACAGCTCTTGTGAAGGTCGCAGGAGCTCTCCTAGCCCACTCCTATGCTCTATTTGCTATCCCTGTAACTCTTCAAGGGACGAAACCGTCTGCCTAAAGGGACCTAAATAATACTGTAAATGATGAAAAACAAAATAATCTGAGCCAATTCTCACTGGCATCAATCATTTGGAGAGATGCAGCTCTATGTCTTATTCAGATCTCACCCACGACACTAAAAAAATGTATTTGGATCAGAATGCTGCCTTCTTTACATTTATGATCACATTATTTTAAGAGGTTTCGTGTCTTTAAAAGGTATATGAAACCTAAAAATGGAGACACTGTGATAAAACCCACCCCGGAGCACATCTGGAGGGTTTGAGTTTAATAAGTGCCTCTTGCATTTTCCATCAACTGATTGAACTTAGCTCCTGTTTCGTTGAACCTCTTGTTCTTCTCACTGCAAGCTGTGCTGACATGCTTTAAAAGCATACAAATAGCTTCTGCTGTGACTATCTACACAATATATTCAGTTCTGTTTTCGTTGTAATACGCATTTCAGTTCATGAATGCCTGAGCTAACAGAGGTAATGCAGAGATAAATCTCTGGTATTACTACTTGTTTTTCCGTTTGTTTCTTTATGATGCACAAGATCTGATTCTTTGGCACTTCATCAACAGCATTCAAGGCTGGAGGTAGGTATAACAAAAATTAAAGTGTATAGCATCCCTAAGGAGATGCTCGGAATCGGGCTGTGGCCAACCTCATATATTACATTGTTTGAACTTTGTTATTTTATTAAGAAAATGGATTTCAGATTCATCACTGATTTAGCATCGATAGCATATGACCACCTTCCGTGGTCTGCTGAAACTTCTCACTGTGGTGGGAGACATGCAAGTGCCTGACCCCAAGCATTTACAGTCTAGGCAGGATAAAACCAGTAGGTTTCCAGTACAATTTTCCAATTTAAAGTGGACATACATGATTCATGTTGCAACCGAGGCAGTGGAGAAGCAGGCCTGAGATGCGGTGGCAAAGCTGATGGGATGCAAAACCTGAAGAACGCACATGACGCATGCAATGGGTGTTGGGCAGAAGTTGCTTCTATAGGCAGCGCTACCTCCTGGAAGAGGAGATCTGAGGGTAAGCAACCCAGCTGGAGACATCGGTGGAACATGGTCTGGAGCCTGCGGGCCTAATGGAGGTGGGAGAGCAGTTCAGAGGGAGCTCAACATGGGATTGGGACACCCTGGAGGGCAGGGCTTTAGCTGAGGAGGGCAAACAGGGAAACACATGGCCATGGGAGTGAAGAGGTGGGGAAGATCGGCTAGTTGTGTCGAGGAAGGGGAAAAAAAAAAAGAAAAAAGACCGGTTGCTACCTCCACGCAAGAAGTGAGAAGACAATGGAGGGAAGCGAGGGCCAGAAGGA